GGTCTCTCGCCACAGATTTGGCGAGGTTGGCCTTACCGCCGGAAACGGGCGGGAAAGGAGCAACGCGGATGGCCTCGCCAAGACCCGAGGTCCCGGCGACTCGTGGGAAGGATCGCGGTCCTCACCGCCGTCGAGCGACCGCCTCGGTGTGGGTGGTAGCCTCGGGCGGTCCGCTGCCGTGGCGCGCCGCCGCCAACTACTTCGTGGTCGCCTGTGCCTCGTGTTGGTCCCTCGAGTCGGTTGCGCACCGAGAGGGCCTCGCTGACCGCCGGCGCGCATGAAAGGGTTTCGGGACGGGCCGAGGCACCCCGCCTTGGCGAGGTCGCGCTGCGGGTTGTTCGGTGCCTCCGCGCGGCGGGAGGCGGAACTTTCGCCCGCCGTGACCGCCGCGGTCTCGAGGAGGTCGCGGAGTTTCTCCGCGACCCGCCGCCTCGGTGGTGGAGGGCTCGGGCATTGCTCGGACTAGCATCGCAGCCGCCGCGACACATTCGCTAGCGCGGTTAAAGATTGGGGCGGCTCATCCCTCGTTGTCGTTGATGCGGTGGTGGACGCCGCGGGCCCTCCTCGGGCCCTCCGCCCTCATCGCGCCTTTGCCGCTCCCCGCCGAGAGTGTCCCAAGTTGCTGCGTATGAGTCGGTCTTGTTCGACCTTGGCTTGAAGCTCGTGGAGCTGCTCCTGTGTCCGGGCGGCGATGCCTCGCGGGCGGGATTCTCGCCCGCGGCCGCCGGGCCTCGAGAGACGCGGTGGTGGAGGCCGCCGCCGCCGCCCTGGGCGGGAATGGTTGCTCGTCCTCTCGCTCCTTCGCCCGCCTTGGCATCCCGAGCCCGACGTGGAAGCACTCACGAGATGGATCAGAAGTCCCTTCATCGCCGGAGTCGGAGTAGCCGAGGCAAGAGTCGCTATGCCAAGAATTGGCGCAAATCCCTGTGGCTGTGAAGTTCGGAGAAATCCACCCCGGGCCATGCCTCGGCCCCTCGCCCGAGGAGTCGGAGCGGTGCTCAAGTCGAGAGCGGTTACCGGGCGGCGCTCCGGGGGGTGCTCGTGGAGTGGCAAAGCGTAAGCGTAGGGCGTAAGAGGGGCGGCATTTCTCAACCCAAAGGGGTATGGGGACGGGCCGTCTCCATATTCTCGCCACGGGTCGGTTTCTTCGTGGAGTGGCGGAGCGGGTTAGACGACGGGCATCGCCAGAAGCCACCGGCGATTTTCCTTCGCCCTGTGCTCAGTCGACAGTCCCCACCAGGACCCCTGCATCAACAAATGGGTCGAGGACATCGGCGGGAGAGGCGTGTCGCCTGGGCTCGCAGAAGGTCGGGTGGCCTTGCTCGCCGTGCTCGGGCGAAGCGTGGCGAGAGCGGCCGCCGGGCGCCGCCGCTACTGGGCTGCCGGGCGCGATTTCGCGTCTTCGGACGGTGGGGTTCGAGGAGTGAGGAGCACCATGTCGCACTCATGCCCTAGAGACATGAACTCTAGGCTCCCCAACCAAACTATGGTGCCGAGACGCAATGGTCGTATGTAGTCCGCCATCCGGAACTTGTTAGGATGACGAAGCCGACACGCAGCGCCCTACCGGGCGCGCTAACCGCCGGTGTTTTGGAACCGGGGTCCTCAACCAACGAGTGAATTTGTGTGCGTGCCCCTAATCCCGGATGGTGGCGCAAAGAGACACAAGGTTTATACTGGTTCAGTGCAATCGAGGCCCTACGCCCATCCGAGAGATCGATCTTGTATTCCTTGCACCGGAGTGCTCGTAGTAGGGGTTACAAGCTAGGTGAGAGAGGAACTAGCCCTGTGTCTCGGCGAGTGTGGGTGCGGGCTGCTTGAGGCGTTGTTCCCAAGCAGCAGAGGAGTGCGTGGTTCTATCGGCGTGTTCGCTTTTTCCGCCCTCTCCTCAGAAATGGCCCCAGCCCCTCCCTTTTTATACTCTAAGGAGGACCGGGACCGCATGTGGTGCTACATAGCGCTTCAGAAATGGGGTGGCGGTCCGAGCCTCGTAGTCGCCCCTTTGTTGTGGTATGGTCGATGGAGTGGCCCCCCCTTGTCGTGGCGGAAGTGACATGCTGGTCATACTCGGTCTTGTGCGCCGTGGGGCTCCAAAGACGACTTGCTTGATGCAGACATGGCGGGCGACGTATGGTCGCCGTGTAATGACGTCGAGGGAGCAGCTGGCTCGCAGATGCCGAGGCCGAGCCATCGTGGGGGGGCTCGGTGGTCATGGACCCTCAGCCGCCGAGCCCGTGAAGCAAACCGCCGAGGCCTTTGGGGAGTTATTGGCCCCGGTATCGATTCCGAGGCCACAAGAGCTCAGACGTGGCTCCCCATGCCGCGTTGTCCTTGGAGCAGGAGTTGGCAAAGACAGTGAGGCATGGGTGTCAACCATGTGCACGGTGGATAGCATAGTGACGGGTAACCCCCCGCCCACCGGGGACGGTGTCATCGTGATGACGCCGAGGGGGTCGTGGGCTCAGAGGTGCCGAGGCCAAGCCATCGCGGGGGCTTTGGCGGACATTGGTCCTCGGCCGCCGAGCCCTCGGAGCAAGCTCGCCGAGGCCTTGAGGGAATTATTGCCCTGGCATCGATTCCGAGGCCACAGAGCTCAGATGTGGCTCCCCACGCTGCATTGTCTCGGTGCAGGAGTTGGCAAGATAGTGAGGCATGGGCGCCAACCCATGTGCACGGTGGTTAGTACACATGGCGGTAACCCCCGCCAGCCCCCGATCTCGCCTCGTCCCCATCGGCCATTCTCACAGATCGCGTGGCGGGCATGCGGTCGTTGTCAGGGGCAGCAGCTATCGAGTTGATGCGACACGACGCTTTGCCAGAGGGACGGGAGAAGGAAGAGGTAGCGGAGGTCGCCGAGCCCGAGACGGAGGTCGGTGGCCGAGACGGAGGGTCGGTGGCCTCGCGCCGAGGGCCTTGGCGGGAAGAACCGAGGCCCATGGTGATGGGGCCTCGGTAGTCGGAGAATCGGCCGAGGTCCGCAGGTGATGAGGCCTCGGCGAGTGGAGAATCGGCCGAGGTCTCCAGATGGGGGCCTCGGGCGAAGTCGGAGAATCGGCCGAGGCTCAGCTTAGTTGGTTTCGATCTTTACGAAATCTAAGCAGTCGTTTTTTGGATCTTGCTTAGGGTACCCCTTCTCACGGTATCCGACACTGTTAATCCTCAGTTTTCTTTTGGGTTCAGTTTCATCCCAAAACTATCAAAGTGACCATTTCAGTCCTCAAACTTTGCATTTCTGGAAACAAGCGATCTGTTTTCTCTCCTGGGTTGATTCCTATGTATAGTGTTTCTTAATTTTTCTTCTTGTTCTTGCCATGCTCAGGCTTAGCTGGAGTGTTTCCTTCTGTTTTGTACAGTGGTTTTTTTTTGTTTTAATAAAAGCTAACAGTGGGGGCTTCCCTTGCTGTTTTCCTGGTTCCAAAAAAAAAAAAAAAATCATCCATGAACTATCAAAGTGTGTTTCAGTCACCTCATACTTTTCTTTTCAGCTCAACTTCACCCCTCGTCCTACGTGGAACGCTGCGTCAGCTCCAGCACTGCCCGTGATTGGAGATAGAAAAATAATATTCGAATAAAAACATCATTACCTGTGTCAGCATAGATATAATTACCAAATAAATGAGAACACGTTGATCATGGTTAGATAGCAATGATGTTGCTGGGACTCACAACTTAACTCCAATGCTGATTCAGCCGAGTAGAATTTCCCTTCCCAATTGATTGCCTCCTAATTCCGGTGCTAGTGACTGACAGTGTGATATTCATGTAGCTGGCACTAAAAAGACAAATTCTGTCAAAGCACAAATACTTGGCTGCCTTATTTCTCCCTGAAAAGGCAGACACATCAAAGTAACAGAAGGATTTCCCTAACAAATAATAATATACGTGCATCAGCTTAGTTAAACATCATGAACTCTATGTTATGTGCTAGGCTGGGAGCATGAAAATAATTCCATTAGAACTCTGAAGCATATCCATTGATAAATATTAAAATTCTAGACTGGAATAACTCAGAGAGGTATAAACCCATTTTTGTTGTTGTGGAGCAGACACCATACCAGACTGCCATGAAAAAAAGAGAAACCCATTTTGATTTATCTGAGCTTCCCGAATCGAATACACAGATGACTCCATAGTAGACCTTCGTAAAAATCTTTCCTGCTCCATCCTCCATAGTAGGCCTGCCCTGCCTGTACTATCCCCTGCGCCTTGGCCCTTCTTTCATGGTTGCACTGTGCAGCTTGCTCCTACTGCTGCACACGTGATTGGCTGCAACCGCCTTCCCCAACCAGTGGACTGGCATAATTGGACATCACAGCGAGATGTCAAGAGATGAAGCGATGGAGCGGGATTGAGAGGGAGAAGCAATTTTATTGGGGATTTGGGGTTTGGAATTAGGAAATGAGATTAGTGATCTAGTATTTCATTACTGCAAGTGATGAGCTCTGCTCTACTATCCTACTTTATGGAGTGGATGACGACAACGACGAGTGACAGTACATGTGAAATCGAGGGCCATTGGAATGGAGGGGTGGGTGGCATATTGGACGGAGCAGCTATGCTGTTGAATGCAGCATAGATGCCCGCTACGTGCCAAGAAGTGGTGGTGGTGAGCGGGCAGGTGCAGTGGCCGCCTAGGGTTTCACAGAGGCAAGCAGAGCGCCACAAGTTGGGGAGCGAGTGAACGGGGTGTGGTGTCCGTTAGTGGTATCGCGAGTATATAATTAAAACTTATTATGACATAATGCTACTCTCATGGCACATGGTTTACCAGGACAATTGGACCCAGAACCCATGGTTGATGTAGCCAGAAGGCAGGCACACAGCTCCACCTATATGTTTTTTTTCTTCTAAGGAATAGAAATGCTTTAAATCGACCCAAGTTCCTAATACATTCTCAACTATTTAGTGCATTTATCCCATTGAGCTTGTATATTTCCATAAAGATTCGTGGCAATTACTTTATTGTGTGCCAGGGCTAACTTAAATTTTAGTTTCCCCAGTGGAGAGAAGGATTTCAAGAGATGCATGATGATGGTCTTGGTGGCTGTGCAACATATACTATGGAATCAGGAACTGCCTCACACAAAGTTGATGTTAATATTATGTCTGAATCAGAAGATTCAAACCGAGAGAAAGGCAACATTAGATCCATGACACTAGTTGGAACCAGTAGATCAAAAATAATTTCTTCTGTTAGTGCTGAAGAAAGCACTACTCCGCCTTCAGCAGATACCTCTGAAACAGAGAATGTATCCTCTGATTTGCCTCCCAGTAGTTTAAGGAAACACAAGATTTCAAAACATGGACCTAGGTACAGGGAGCGTTCTCCTGGCAAAAGGCAGAAGGTTTTCACTTCTGACATTTCTTTTGCAAGCAATATACTGAATAAACTTTCCATTCCGGAGATTCGTGACACAAGACAAGAGTCTAGAGAATCTGGGGGTGATAAACTACAAATTGTTGACGAGTCCACTAAGAAGACTTCAAGCAAAGATATCTGTGGAGAAAGCCCAACTACTACTACTGATAATGTGGGAAGAGAGAGTAATAAAGTATCTTCAACAAATAATTTATTGGAGCACACTCTTTCTTGTTGGAGTGCCTTAGAGCGAGATCTATACTTAAAGGGCATAGAGATATTTGGAAAGAACAGGTAATTATAGGTTGTATGTAATGAAACATTTTATTTTATTATATTTTATAGTTTACCTAGGCTTGCTGAAAAAGGAGTTCCATTATTAGTTTAATTTGATAATTTGATTCCCTAGTTGTATGACCTTTGTGTGCATCGGTCACAGCTGTCTCATTGCCAGAAACTTACTATCTGGTCTGAAGACCTGCATGGAAGTGGCCAACTACATGTATAACAATGGTGCAGCGATGGCGAAGAGACCTCTCTTGAATAAATCCATCTCAGGCGACTTTGCAGAAACTGAACAAGACTACATGGTATGCACTTTCTTGTCCTGTTAGCTTGTGTGCTTTACCTCATTGGTATTCACTCAGATCATAAAGGTTAGAAGTATGTAAACTGTTGGTAGCCACGTTGGTCTGAATTCAGCCTATTACTATGCTGTTGTGATTATTGTTTGTTATGATTGGCCACAGAGTAGGGGACAAGACATCACATACAATGACTTTTATTCATTGCACGGTATTTTATGAGGGTTACAGATTAGGGTTTTTTACGAGGATAATTTTTTTTATCCTTTTGGAATAACATTTGTAATATTGTTGAGGCAACAGGAGAAAAATCAAGGAATTGCTAGTTTACACAGTGCCAGAAAACAGGTAAAATATGCTACTACGGGGGTATGTAAAACAGCTTTCCTTTTGGGATCAGACCTGTTGCCACCCATGTTACCAGATCCAAACTGGGGTCATTAGATGAATGGTTGGAATGTGAGTTTTGTTTTATATATAATAAATAAATAGATGAGAAAAAAAAAACGAGGTTGCAATAGCGATGCATGCAGGTTCTAAGGCCTTATAGGCTGCTCTTCTCTAGTGAACACATAACAGCATAAGCTCACGTGCTTAGTTGGCTGGTTTCATCAACTGTGGATGTGCTTGTTTTGAACCCCATCTCCGGATGCTTTTGTGAAGCAATAATCAGCACCATCTGCTTGGGCTGGATCATTCTTCTCAGAACCCAAATCCAGTTTTCTCCAGCAGCTGTTGGATGAAGTTACTTATCCACTTTCTTTTCCCCTGATTAAACCATCTGGTTGTCTGGGCTCATGACTATGGGTACGACCATGCCAGAGGTCAGCTTTTAAGACCCTGGCTCAACAAATGAAGTGACTAATATATGGCCTCACTACCACTCCACAGTCAAACTGACAAGTCAAAAATAAATAGATAACCAGCTAGGAGTCTTATCTTAGATTGGCTTGCCACCCTTGTTAATTTTTCCTCTCTGTTTCATATGGTTTCCTTTTCTTTTGTTGTTTTCATAAGCATCTGTACAGTCCTTTTTGTATTTCAATATATTTCTTTCGCCTACTATTATTACAGCTCAAAAAAACCTTTGTTTTTCTGTTGGCATTGTTATGCTAGTAATAATATGATTATTTGTCCTTGTCTTCTAGGAGCAAGACATGGTTTCCAGAACAAGAATCTATCGTCGGAGGGGCCGCAATCGAAAGCTGAAATATACTTGGAAGTCTGCAGGGCATCCAACTGTTAGAAAAAGAATTGGTGATGGGAAGCAATGGTACACACAATATAACCCATGTGTGTGCCAGCAAATGTGTGGTAAAGATTGCCCCTGTGTGGAAAATGGAACTTGCTGCGAAAAGTACTGTGGGTGCGTCCCAAGTTATGCTAACTTTCCCTTTTTTATTGAGCAGATAGATTTCTGTTGTTCCTTTACCCCCGTTCTCCTAGTGATTAAGTATGAACTGACAATTATTTCGTATATTTTTACTAATGAAAATGCAGAGTAAAAAAATTATACTGATTTCATTTCTGAATACTCATGTGTCATGATTAATCAATATAGGTGTTCGAAGAGCTGCAAAAACAAGTTTAGAGGCTGTCATTGTGCAAAAAGTCAATGCAGAAGCAGACAGTGCCCCTGTTTTGCAGCCAATCGTGAATGTGATCCAGATGTTTGTAGGAATTGCTGGGTGAGGTAATCAGCACTGGTCTAATTAACAATTGACCTTTATGCATTCATGAACTAGTTAAAATAATCATACAACAGGGTCAAGACTCAAGAAACTGTAATTTTTGTTAACTGCCTTTCTTATTCTATTGTCATATTCATATTTCTGATTTGTACTATTATAGTTTATCACTCATAACATGATGTATATTGTCTTCAGCTGTGGAGATGGTTCACTAGGTGAGCCACCTGCAAGAGGTGATGGCTATCAGTGTGGAAATATGAAGCTCCTTTTGAAACAACAGCAAAGGGTGAGTATATTCGCGGTGCTATTTGTCCCTTTGTATCACTACACTCTACTAATGCTAACTGCATTAATTGTTTACCATGGACCAGATTTTGTTAGGAAGATCTGATGTTGCAGGTTGGGGTGCATTCATTAAGGTCAGATAACCGAACAAAAACCTGAGTGTGATACTTTCTTTCTTGTTCTGGCTAATTTTCTTTTTACTTTCCTTGCAATATGTAGAATCCTGTACATAAAAATGATTATCTTGGAGAATATACTGGTGAATTGATCTCTCACAAGGAAGCAGACAAACGTGGCAAAATTTATGACCGGGCAAACTCATCATTTCTGTTTGATTTAAATGACCAGGTGCTTCTTGTCCCTCCTCTCTTTCTTTATTGGATTGGAATATTTGTTTAATTCAAAGCAGTAAGCTGAATTCAATACTTTTACACAGTATGTATTGGATGCTTATCGCAAGGGGGACAAATTGAAGTTCGCAAATCACTCATCTAACCCCAACTGCTATGCAAAGGTAAGAATTGCAATTACTGAATAGCATCTAGTTCTTTATTATGTTGCTCATTCTACTTTCCAGGTGATGTTGGTGGCTGGCGACCATCGGGTTGGTATCTATGCGAAGGAGCATATTGAGGCTAGCGAGGAACTCTTTTATGATTATCGTTATGGGCCTGACCAGGCTCCAGCTTGGGCTAGGAGACCCAAGGGATCAAAGAAGGACGAAGCATCCGTCTCTCACCATCGAGCACACAAAGTTGCTCGATAGCGCAGAGTCGCTCCGGATGATACAAATATGCAGTAGATTATATATTTAATATATGATTTAGTCCTAGTCATTATACGAGGACTTTGTTAGTTGATAAACATTATATCGGCCTGTTCGCTGATTGGTTTCTGGGCTGGCTGATGCTGGTTTGTTGTGAGAGAAAAATACTGTTGGCTGGCTGATAAGCCCTGACTAAAACCAACAAGCGAACATGCTGTATATATATGTATATATATTAGTAAATAAACTCAGACATCAAGTTGGAGAATAAATGCATATAAACATTTGTGGACCTTAGGTCGGAAGGTGACAACCTTGTTAGGTTGAGAAAAGATAAGAGTGCTAACATGTTTTCAAACTGGAGTGGCTATTGCTAGAGTATCAAATAGCTGAGATGGCTACAACAATAGGCTTGTTTGTATTTTTTTTTTGGTAAGATGAAATTTATTTGCCAAATCTCTTCCTTTCAAATCCTGAGCCAAGCGCGGGCACCTGATTAGGCCACGTTGCCTGCTAACCTGTTAGCCGTCGGATCGAGCTAGCTCGTGACGTGAACTGTCCGATGCGGATCATAGCGGGTGTGTTGCCCATTAAGGAGAAAAATCGGGCGCTTGTGAAGATTCGCGAACCCGCTCGAGCAGTCGAGCTACGACCTATCACCGCCGCGCGAGTCGCGAGCATCCAGACAGCGCCGGTCTCCGGCTTGTCGTCGCCTCCGCCCTTCCCTTGCTGCGCCCTCGGCCGACGCCACTCCTCCTTCCTCCCCTCGGGACGCCAGCCTCCTTACCAAGCCATCTGCGCCTTCCTCCGCCTGCCGCACCGCTCGCCGACCTCATCCACCCGACCCGAATCCTTCAGGAGAGATCCTGGTCCCTTAGAACAAACGTGCGGGGGGGGGCGTGTTGGTGTTGCTACTACACATTCACCCACTCATCGTTGGCGAATCGAGTGGGGCGCGGGGTGGGGCGGATCACCAGCGCTGTTTCGGGCGTGGGGCAGCGGCGCCGGCGAAAGGGCGGCGCCGGACACGACGACCTCGCCCGCCAGTCCTGCCTGTCAGTGCCTTTTGCCTAGCTACGGCTGCGGCCCGAGGAACCGCATGTTCGACACTGCCGTCGTGAGCTCCAGCTGCAAAAAGCAAGACGCACGACAAAGCCGGTGGAGCAGCACGGGCCAGCGCTCCAGTAGACGGAGCAGCCGCCGACATGGACGACGCCCTGCAGCTGTTTGATGAAATGCCTCCAAGGCCGTCCTCGATCATACAAGCCTAGAACAAGGTGGCAACTTTATCCTTGGCCATGTCTTGCTCGCATCCTCAATTCGGAATCTTCTATTGGATTTTTTTTCCCAATATTATTTGAACGCTGGTGTCGCAGCCGGCATCAACACAGAAGCATCTTCTCAAGCTCTCAACCAAAGCAAGGATACAAAGAAGATTGCCTTGACGCACTGGCAGCGTCGGCGGCAGCAAGGTACCTGACCCCTTCCCGACCTTCCCTTTGCCTTCTATGTTTGAGGAGCATGAGCTTGTTGCAATGCCGGAACACCAGATGATCAACATTAGATAGAACGGGCAAAAAGTTATCTCACTTACCTTGGTAATTAAATGTTCTTTTGTGCTCATATAATGTGCTTCGCTAGACAACTGCTTTCATCAATAGTATCTATGCATGATTTTTTAACTTGAACATTTAGAGAAATATTAGAACTACGTAGTGTAAATGTTTAGAGCTCAGTTCTCAGTTTACCAATATTTTCTGAACCTGGCAAATATACCTTTGTTCATAAAGCTACTGAATCCTAATGAGTAGCAACAGTAACAACACCATACCCTTGGAAAGCTCTTTAACGAACTTCAAGGTTTGATGTCTGAACACATCTCTGGAAAATCTTCAGTTCTTTACCAAGATATCATCCATAAGGAAATATATATGAACTATTCCTCAGATGAGTAACAGTCTTATTTTCAACAGGTCTCATTTCAGAGATAGTTGAAGAAAGACTGCAGTAACAAACACATGCATCATTGGAATATCCTTGCTTTGTGTATTTATTTTTAGAGTGTCTCATAGAGCTAAGTTACAGATGGCAAGATAAAAATCTAATAAAAGGATCATTAGTATCAATCATTTTTCTGCTTCTGAATGGAGCCACCAAGAACAACAGCAGCAAAAAAGATTCTTAACTCAACAAAATCAAAGCTATGGCTATGTTGGAAACCTCAGCAAACCGTTCTTATCTTTAACAGAAGCATACTATGTTGAACACAAACAACATGGGGCCATACTTCCAACAGCTACTCCATTATATGTGATGTGATCTTAGTAACAATGAATGGAATGCCTTTACTGCCACATTCATTGCTTTCATCATTTTAGTGTGGAAAATTCTTATTTCAATCTTTATTTGCATTTTTAGACATAATGTAAGGCATGCCACTCTTTATATGCTTGTTTTGAACAGGATTTCCTCAAGGTACCAAGGACAAGGTCTCATTTTTCCATACTGTGAAGCGTACAATATCTGGACCTGAAAGGATATTTTCTTACACCATATTAATTTGGTTATTTTAACAACGATCCATGCCCACAGTTTAGTACAAATCAGTGGATGGTACCATCAAATCAAATCCTTGCTACTTCCACCTGCTGAATACTGCATTGCTGTTTTTAATAGTTTCAATATTTGTATTTGATGTCATTACATGCCTTATATATAGGAGTAGCTCCATGTAAAAAACAGACCATGCTATCTTGATTAAGGATGTTAGAACCTCGTTATTTCAGCTTATGTTATCTTTAAGCTCGTTGCTAGTAGCAACTGTGGAACCTCACTATTTGCAGACTGCTGTCCACAGGTCAATCTTTTTGCAGACGTTTTTTGATCTTTTACAGACGAAATACCATTGAATTACCATCATGGAGTACAAAGAACATACACCAATACTGCCAATAACTACTCATAGATGGGCCGTGGGCTAATCCAAGCTGGCGCGGCAACGCCATGCCCATCTTTTCTAGTGTACACTTTATTCCTGAAAGTATTTGATGATTCATTAGGAGTGTTTCTAGAACCTGATAGTAGGCTATTTGCATGTCACATTATTGGTTGCAGAGAGGGTGCAGACTGCAGAGACAAGCATGATTGACTGATTTTGCACTTGCGACCTCTTTTCAAATCAAATTAACATTTACAGAGGTTGCGCCATAAAAAAAAATTGAGCGGGCAAATAATTCAGCCACTAACTTGTTACATCTTTTTCTTTTGGCGACAGTAGATGGTAGAATAACAGTTCATTCCATGTATCTGGGACTCCAGGAAGGCACCAGTGGCTGCAATCCTGTGCGCTCGATGCGGTTAAATCTATCGTCTTCCGGCCATATACAGATGGGTGACCATCTATCCTGATCCCAGATAGATTAGTGATGTTCAGAATTGTCACAGGAGTCTTCATTTGCTTCGTGATTTGTTCCAAGATCACGTTTCTCTCAGGTACCGGCCTAGCATGGGTATCATTAAGAGGCAGCATGCTCTCTCTGCAGTGTCCCCCTGAATTCCACTCCCCACCGCTGAAATTGACAACAGCTAGTTACATCGACCTGCTTGCACAGAGGAGACAACAGCAGCTCTTATGACACTCATGTTAGATTGACTAGTCAAAGATCAAACCTGAAATGCGACGGGGATGAGCTTCGGAAGAACACTTGAGTTAGCTGTGGATTGATGTACCTGTCCACCCAGGATGCCCAGGTGGTTAGTGCTCTTTGGAAAGCGGTAGAGGCATTGAGATGGGGATGAACATGATCTCCCTCCTGATAATAGTTCACTCTGCAAAGTATATGTGATAATCAGATTTTTAATAACATGACTTGGTTATTTTATTCTATAAGCTCTAGGTTTTTTTAAAGAAGAAAAAATAGTGTCAATGGTTGGAGTTGTTTGACAGTTGATTCCAAATAAAAACTCTGTTCATCTGATGTGATTGTCATTCACATTTAGTCAATACTCACCCAGATTGTGTTTTGTGATGCGACCACCAATGGGCAGTGTTGAACACAAGCACATCAGCACCTTTCCATCTTGATGAGCTCCGATGAATGGTATCGATCCGTAGTGTCTTCATGCGCTTCTGGCCAATTCTCGCCTTGCTTTCATGCACCAAGAAATGTGTCACATGATATTCCACACTACAGTTGTAGTCCTGCAACAACCATACCAAGATGATTACCATCTACAAGCCTAGACATTGATGAATGGACTACTCTAGTCAGATACAGGAAATACTAACCAAGAACTTGAAGTTGTAATCACCGTTCTCTTTAGTAATCCTGCGGCCATGGGATTCATGAATCCGTCCAGGATCTGAGACAGCCGTTCTCAGCAAGCACATCATGGATTCCCACTGGTTTCTGTTAATGGAGTCCCCAATAAACACTAGTCGCTTTCCTCGCAGCATCTCAAGCATTTTCCTAGCATTAAACCTAAGTTTTATTTCAAGAAGTTAGCAAATTGCAAAACTACTAAGCAACCAAAGAACTAAGGAATTGCAGGAGCGCAACAAATACCTTGGTATATTGCAATGCTTAGGCTGCCACCTCCACTTCATGTGTCTTTGATCCATTCTACCATTTGCTCCACAGCTGAATCCTTCATCTATAAAAGGGCACGAATCACTCGTGTAGAGTGGATAGGTCTCATCGAACACCCAACTCCCATCATAAACATCACAATGTATGGTATTGCTTCCTGTAGAATCCATTTTGCTCATGACCGCTTCCTCAATCAGATTAGGATCTTGCTTATTTTGATTGAATGGAGCTGCCCCGGAATTATTATTCCCTGCTGAATGATCTGAGCTTTTCAGTTGCTCCCCTTGTTGAGAAGCATAAGCTGCTTGTACTGAGGAGTCGTGCTTATCCCCCAAAACCACAATATCGTCTTGCAAGGATTCACCTCTCACCTCCATTGCAGCACCTGAAGCTTCCATGGACAAATTGACAGTTCTCAGAGACTCTGCTCCCTCCGATTTCACCATTGCAGCTACTTCCTGTGAAGCAGAAGCATTGCCAGTGCCAGCATTTAACTGCGCCTTTGTTTCCGAACCAACGTGTTGTCTGCTAAGATCATTGCCCTCGGGCAAGTTTTCCTTCCGAACGGAAAATTTCCCCAACTTCTCGTCATCTCCTCCCACACCGGTTACTTCTTTAGCATCCGTAGCCAAATCCGAGGCTCCAATAGAGTTCTTCCCAGCTTCTGCAATCTCTTGCACCACCAAAACCTTACCAGTCGCGGGTGCTCCACCATTTCCTCCTCCGGTAACCGCTTCTTCCACCCCCATTGGCGAGCCCACGCCCCGAGCCGACAGGTCTCCGCCGACCGCGCGGCGGGCTCCATCCGCCACTGATTCTCCACTCCCGCGCCCACGGACCGCATAACCGGCCTCCGGCGCGAGCGCCACCGCGCCGCCCATGGAACCCCCACCGCTCCCAAGAGGCGGTGACCGTGCAAGGGCCGCGGTGGAGGCGTTGGGCATGGCGAATGGGAGGTGGAGGGGGCGGCCGTGGCGGACGACGAAGAGCGCGAAGAGGAAGGAGAATAGGAGGGAGGAGGAGCCGAAGGACAGGAGGAGGAGGCACTTGGGACTAAAGAGCCGGTACGAGGAAGAGGAGGAGCTCCTCTGCCTCTCCATTGCTCCGTGCTGCGGGGAGGAAACAAGGGCGGATGGTACGGCAATGGCTAGCCGTGCGGTTTCCGGAGGGAGGGAGCCTCAGGCAGGGGGCCGGAGAGAAAAAGAAACGAGGAGACGGAAACTGAGCGCGTGTTTAGTTTGAAGTCAAAATCCCAAAAAGTGCTACAGTATTTGTCACATCGAATATTTATGGCTCATATATGGAACATTAAATGTAGACGAAAAAAAACTAATTGTACAGTTTGGTGAAAATTACGAAACGAATGTTTTGAGTCTAATTAATCCATATTTGAATATTATTTGCCAAATAAAAATAAACGTGCTACAGTAGAATAGCAAATTTCAAATTCCTACAACTAAACACAACACAGGCTGAGGGAGAGGGTCGAGGACCGGAGGATGGTCAGTGTAACGGAAACGGAACGGGAGCTTCGGGTGTCGTGGAGTAAGCGTAACTGTCCGTCTGCGGTCTGCCCCCACCTTTCTTGGACATTCAAGAGAGGCAGTTGGCATCGCTTCTCACATTTTTTGTTAGCCACGTTAGGAATAAACAAGATATTACCGGCAATAGAAAATGCAAATGAGGGCAAGTAGAGTGTTTTTTAATAATATTATAGTTGATACAAAATTCTTAAATGAGAGCAAATGGGATAACCCCTTTTCAATTAGTCGTTTGGCTGGGCTGGATCGTTGCTGGTTCGTGAAGAAATACTGTTGGCTGGTTTGGTGTGAGAGAAAAATACTGTTCCGGCTGAAAATTTACGATCGTTTACGAGCAAGCCCAGCCTGCCGAACAGGCTGTAGGTAAAGGAAAACATCCCTTACATCTTTAGAACATAGGTACAGGATATCCTTATAACCAACATCATAAATCACTGCTTGTGCTTGTATGACTGGTACTGAAACTGAAACTGAACATATATAACAGAAAAGAACTATATTTCGTCGAGACCTGAAACAAGGCAGAGTTGTATGACTGCAAATTTTCAGTGCAAAATTGCTTACCACCATTTAAAGCACAGGAAACTGGAATGTCTCTTTTGTGATAATATAAGATGCACAAAAACATTATTTATGTTTGCTCAACTCCACCTGGGTTAATAACTGAAATCAAATTGCAGCATACTGCGTCGTCGCAACCGAGTCAGCTAGACGACAGATTCCTATGGTCTTCCTGGAGATGATCAAGGAGGACTTCAACAAGGCATATGCAGGGGGGCAAAGCAGCAACAGCTACAGCCAACAGTCTCACCCGAGATTTTGGGTAACAATTCTCTTTCTTTGTCTGCAAGAACAAGATTTTTTCAGACTTCCAGGTGCATTTTCCAATACCGTACACTACCTTTTTTTTATTCCTCACTGCGGGCATGCTTGGGGACTGGCAATACAGGCTGAGGCTTAGAGACCAGATGCAGTACTGTACGGATCACCCAGAGGAGGTGAGTAAGCTGTCCAAAGTGAAGGCTCAGGTCTATCAAATGAAAAGCATTATGATGGAAAACATTGACAAGGTAATAACCAATGTATATCAGTATATGCTTTCCCAGGTATGCCGCTGACCTAATCGGCTGGGAGCGGCTGGCTGGGCTGGCTGGCCAGCCCTCTCACATAAACACTATTCACGCGAAACCAGCCAGCAGTACTTCTCTCTCACGTAAACGAACCAGCAACGATGTACTTCTCTCTCACGTAAACGAACCAGCAACGATACGAACCAACCAACCGAACAGGCTGAAACCTTCAATAATTCTGCTTACATTCTTGAGTTATCTTTGGCCTTGACTAGCTTACTTTGAAATACTACTTCTGAATGAGGAATTAATTTGCTGGAAATATTTTAGGCCTTTGATTGCGGACAATAGATCGATGGGCTTGTCACAAGGACAGAGCAGCTCCACGATGATGTCTGTGGTTGTTGCAAGTTTCTGTTTATATCGTCATATCCATGTATCTCTTCAGTAACTTGCCGGTGTCAGACAGAAGAGAAGAACTGAAACAGAACATTGGCTCCTCTGTTTGTTTCAGGCTGCTGATTTCAGGTGGCTTGGCGTGCAGGTGCGGCGCAAGATGTGGTACCAGGACATGAAGATGAAGCTCATCGTCCTCGGCATCGTCGTCGCGCTTATCCTCGTCATAATCCTCTCAATTTGCCATGGAATATGCGGCAAGTGATTTAGGTTGCTGGAGATGGCTGGGAATAGCAGTGAATCTGATTATGTGCTATATCAAAATCTAGCTCGGTTTGTTTGTCATAAAAAAAAAAAACTAGCTCGGTTTGAGCAAGGCTCCAGGGAGTGTTGAAGTTGTGCCACAAATTAGGCCTCAAGTTCATCGACCGCAAGATAAGGAGGAGGGGTCACTATGGCTCAAAACTTTGTTTTTGAGATTCCGTGAACCGTTTTACTCTTGTTTGTAATAAGGAACAGCCATATGCATTGATCGATGCAGAAGCTGAGATATTAATATATTCCATTTTCTAAAAAGGAGGAGGGGTCTCTAATCTGATTTGGTTCTCTTTGGATGTTGAAATTGTGCCACCAATTAGGCGATAATTTCAATGACATGAAATTAGCAGGTGTAGGTTCAAGGATGGAATTTTGTCAAAAAAAAAATGAGTTGAAATCTTGTCAATTTAGCCTTGTTAAGGATTTGGATTGGTTGTTCTAGATGATATTAATGGACCTGTTGCTAGAAATATGTTTTTGATGTCACGTATACTGTCATTCTCAAAGGTTTAATTGATAAAGGCATTGTTATCATGGTAAGATGTTCTTGCTTGTGTGATGATGATCTGTTTCGCTTGGTCGTCTAGCTATTGATTCTGTTAAATCGCCTATCGAAAGATCATACCTGTCAATTTGATTTTTTTTAAATTCCCAG